ATGCAGTACTTGTTGCAGTACTCCATGCAGTACTCTATGCAGTACCTTATCCAGCCCCGTGTGTTCTGGTCCTAGGAGGGACTACGAGAGCCGTCCGGTGAAGCTCCGGCTGCTGGCCCAGATCAGGGCGTTTCCTCACAGGAAGGATCCTGATTGGCTCCCTGAGGCCGACGCCCCCATCGACTACTGCTACGTGCGGCCCAACCACATCCCGTCCGTCAACGCCATGTGTCACGACGGCTTCTGGCCCGGCGCCGACCTGTCCGAGTGCCTGCAGTACCCCGACTTCAGCGTGGTGGCGCTCTACAAGAAGGTGGTGGTCGGCTTCGGCTTCATGGTGCCGGACGTCAAGTACAACGAGGCCTACATCTCCTTCCTTCTGGTCCACCCCGAGTGGAGGCGGGCCGGCATCGGCACCTTCATGATCTACCACCTGATCCAGGTGAGTCTGCTGGTTCTGGTCGGAGCTCACGGGCTCATTATCGAGGAGGCGTTCCAGCCGACTGACGAGGAGCTCTAACTTCTATATTTGCACCTTCGAAAAGTCATTTTACCTGAGAGTCAATTTCCAGGGTCAGAACCTCCAGAAATAAAAGTGTGGACACTCAGACAGAACGGTTCCATCAGAACCACTGAACGGATCCATCAGGACTCCGTTTAGTTACTGATCCAGAAAGTTCCTGTCAGTGTCTGTCCACAGATGGGTCCATGGTTCTACTAGAATCACTGCTGAGGCTCTGACATCAGCAGAACCTGATGGGTTCCAGAGTGTGATTGGAGCAAACGGTTTGTTTTTAGTCAGTCAGACGTGTAGAACGAAGCGCCGCTGATGAAACAGCGACTCAGAGCAGCAGGAAGTCCAGCACCTGGACCTTCTGCTGCTCTCACAGTTTCTGGCTGATGAGTCGGCACCCAACAGACTCTGTGTGTGTGTGTGTGTGTGTGTGTGTGTGTGTCTGTGTGTGTGTGTGTGTGTGTGTGTGTTTCCAGACCTGCATGGGGAAGGACGTGACCCTCCACGTGTCGGCCAGTAATCCCGCTATGCTGCTCTACCAGAAGTTCGGCTTCAAGGCCGAGGAGTACATCCTGGACTTCTACGATAAGTATTACCCGGTGGACAGCGCCGAGTGCCGCCACGCCTTCTTCCTCCGACTGAGGCGCTGAGAGCTGTAGCTCCGCCCACCACGGCGCCGCAGCTCACGGGCCTTAAAACCGGCCGAGAGTCTGGAGGAGAGCCGGAGCGGGCCTCAGTCCGTAGAACAGCGTTTCTTTGTCTGTTTCTAAGTTGTTACTTCTCCCACGCTGGACGCTCAGGTGTCGCGCTGATGCGTCACATGTGGGCGACTCCAGCAGGGGGCGCTGCAGCAGGAGAAGCTGCTGCTCACCTGGTTTTAACCAAACGTTCTGTAAATAAAGCAACAAGTCAAACGGTTGGTGTCGTGTTTTCTGTCAGTCAGGTCCAGTGTGGAGGAGCAACATCTGGAGCTGCTCAGGGAAACAACAGACAGCCGTCCAGGTGGTCGTAAAGCTTCACGCAGATAAAACACTTTCAGGTCACATGACTGGTCAGCTGTTTCTGACATCATCAAACATGGTCGACAGCTGTTTGTAGAAACAATAATTCACATAATTTCTGTGGTGAAGCTGATGTGTGACAGATGTGCAGGACTTCAGGAGAACACAACAGAAGGTTCTGGAACATCTGCACACATCGAACCCGGTAAACTGGGAGGTTCTGGTTCTGGTTTTGGATGTAAAATGTGATCATAGTAAATGTTTGACTTCTAAAAGCTCCCAGCGAGTGTAAACCGCCAGAGCTCATCGGTTCGTCTCCACACCTGCAGCTGAGCGTCACCTGGACGGGTCCACCAGCGGGTCGGTCTGAACCGTGGATCAGAGGTTCCTCAAATGTCAGGTTCAGTCCAGACATGTTCAGTTTAGCGTCACAGAGGAAAGAACCCAGAGAACGTTCACTGAAGGAGCTGAAACCACAGTTTTCTGTTTTATTAAAGATTCACTCAAAGCAGTTGATGGATTTCCGTCGATAACTAATCAATGGATCGTCGATCATCTGAGTCCGAATGAAAACACAAGAAACACGAACATGTTCAGACTCTGATGTCCAGGACCAGAACCATCAGAATCATTACGTCATTCCTTCATTGTTACACTGACTTAGAAAAATCTTTAATTTGCTAAATCAGAAGCGAAACCACTGCAGCTGCTGGATGCCGGCGAGTCGAAGCTTTCAACGAGTCCAGGAGAACATCTCAGCAGCTTCTCGTCTCCTCACAGAACCAACGCTCTGACTGCTGGGTCGTAGCGGTGCTGCATCGTCCTCAGTCCACGTTGACGAGGTCCGAGCTGGTCAGAACCATCCTGTGGAACTTCCTCCACGGTGCTCACGCTCAGGTGTTAAATGTTCAGACAGCTGAGACCACTGTATGAACGGGCAGCTAAACGGGTCAGAACCAGGTCCACTTAGCAGGGAGAGCTGCAGCTGGAGCTCAGCACTGGAGGCAGGACACCAGGTGGGTCGGAGGGGGAGGAGCCACAGCTACAGGTAAACATCTCACACCGTCTCTGACCAGTTCTGACGTTTTGCTTCGATTCCTTCAGACGAGTTTTAAGAACAAATCCAGAAAACACGTTAAAATCAAATCAAGTTTTATTTGTAAAGCATTTCTCAGACACCACAGCAACACGGAGCGGCAACACGGAGCGGCAACACGGAGCGGCAACGGAAACATGATGGAAGAAAGGTCGTCCCTCCTCCTACACGCTGACACACACACACACACACACACACACACACACTGGTGACTTCAGAATATCGTTGGACGTTTTCAGACTGGTTCTGATCCATTAATCTCAGCGGTTCTTACAAACACCAAACTGGTTTGATTTCCGTGTCCTTCTCCACCTGCTCCGTCCGTTGATCTCCGTGTTTTAAATCTAAAGCTGTGACTCGTGGGTTCATTCAAAGGTTCTGTTTCAGTTCTGGACTGTTAAGGCATATGAGGCCGTTTAACAAGATGTTCGGGCTTCGGGCTGATTCTGCTGAAGCTGCAGAACCTCCACTGGAACAAGAGATGAGCTGCTGCATGGGTACACGTGGTTTGGACGGCCGGTCCAGGTGAGTGGTACCTGAGCAGCACACCTGCAGAGCCCAGAGCCGAGTTCTTCATCCTGAGGAGGAGTCGCATCATCGCCGTCCGTCACAGCTTCCTGGTCCACCTGTTCAGGGTTTAAGTGTTCACGTGAAGACCACCCACGGCCTGAAGAAGCTTCTGACCTTCAACTCATCACCACAACCTGTAGAAACAAGCTCCTGATTCTCCAGCGACCCATAAGCTGTGGTTCTGTCGAGAAGATGACCCAAATCTGAGCCTGAAACCCTGAAATCTCATCAGCAGCACGTCATTCCACACGACTCGTTTAAGTGTTCCTAAAAATAGAACTTCTGCAGCAGGTTCTGGAGAACCAGAACCTTCCTCCTCCTGGTTCTGATCCCATAGAACCAGAACCTACCTCCCCCTGGTTCTGACCCTGTAGAACCAGAACCTTCCTCCTCTCGGTTCTGATCCCGTAGAACCAGAACCATCTTCCCCCCCGGTTCTGATCATCCACCACTGACTCAGCTGACTGTCCTTCACCTGCAGCCAGACAGCCAATCAGAGAGCAGCTTCGACTAAACAGGAAGTACAGCAGCTGGAGGTTCTTACTGCAGGTTTGAGGGTCTGGTTCAGTTTGAGCGCTTTGATCACACTTGAGGCCCAATCACAGGTTCTGTTACTGTGGTTGTCACGATGAAACAGAATCGCTAGCGTTAGCTCGAGCTAGCGTTAGCTCAAGCTAGCATTAGCTGTGTTTTCTTTGTAGCTGTGGTTAATCCCAGCAGGGTGTCGCTGACTCTTTGCTCTTTAGCTTCAGCGCTGCTGTTCTTACTGAGCTCGTCGCTGCGTCGCTCCGTCACGCTGCTCAGACTCTCAGGCCGAAGCGCCGGTCTGAATCCTCCACCTGCTGGTGTACCTCCGTCCTCTCCACGACCCGCCTGAGACCAAACACAACTTCACCTCTAGAACATGTTTTATGTGTCGTTCAGGTGACACATGTAGAACTCACCTGTTTTGTTTGGCGGCCAGCTGACGCGAAGCCGACGGTCAGACTGACCTCGTATCCATCCTCCTGAATCACAGCGGAGACCATCTGAACGACAGCAGAACACGACACCGTGAAGCTCAGCTGAGAAACTCACTCCGACAGGTCACGTGACCGTCGGACAGGTGAGGTGCGGGTGAGCGTACCTGGCCCAGGCGAGGTTCACCGAGCAGAGCTCTGAAGGGGGCGTGGTTCTGGACGTAACTCCTCAGGTGAGCACACACATGGTCCAGCTGCTTCCTCCAGTAGCCTGAACACAACACACATCAGAAACACACACGACCGCAAAGACTCGCACAGCTGCAAAGATTCAAAAATAAGCAAAGATTTAAACAGCCTCGACCTCGGCCTGGGCTGACGGCGGTCTGCAGCGGTCGGCGGTCTCGGCTCGCCTGCTCTCTGCTGAGCTGCTCCGCCTTCTGCTGCTCCTTCTTGTGCAGCTCAGTGGCTGATGGGTAATAGAGTCCTACAGTCTGCGTGGACTGATCCAAAGTGGGCGGGGCTATCTTCACACTGGGGGCGGGGGCAGGTGTGGGCGTGGCCTGCCAGGTGGATCCATGGGAAGTCGGGGTTGTCGCCTGGAAACAGACAGAGGCCTGGCTGAAGCGTGTCCTGTAACGTGTGCTGATCATAGACTGTATAAAAGATGGACGTAGCAGCCGTCCCTGAAACATGAAGCCAACCTGGACGTGTCAAAAACCTGCAGCATCACTACGTCCACTAGCTGCTGGCTCCACAAAGCCCTGGCTCCCATAGACTGGAACTGGAAAAGAAGTGATCACAGATCACCAAATACTGCATTCCTACAGCTCAGGATTGTTTTCTTATTAGTTTTCATGGTCAGATCCAGAGATCAGGTGGCCAATCTGAAAATAAATCAATACTGAATTTTTAAAAAATCGTCAACATGTTGCGGGGCAAGGGGCGTGGCTGGCTTGATTGACAGTCGGCAGCGACCATACAGATGAAGCGAGCAGAAGGCGGTAAATGTGGGCGGGCAGAGAGGGCCCGCCTCTCAATCCGTCTGACCAATCGCTGCTCCTATGGCTCCGCCCCCCTCCGATGATTACTGGCTCCAAAAATCCAAGATGTCAACCAGGAAGTAGCAAAACCCTGGCTTCATGTTCTCAGTGCAGAAACCAACGGGTGACGTCATGGTAGCTACGTCCATCTTTTATACAGTCTATGGTGCTGATGGCATGATGTCAGCGGTGCAGCGTACCTGGCTGGTGGCTCTGCCCCCAGCAGGTGGTGTGATGTCGTTGCGTGATGTGGGCGGGGCCGGTGCTTCCAGGAAGACCCCACAGGATGCACAGTAGGAAGCGTAGGGGTGTCCGCTCGCTCCACAGCGCCAACACATCACACAGCTGACTGCATGAGCGCGCTAATAACACACATCACATCACTACATATCCCAGCATGCCTCACACACATGCTAGCTTAGCACAGAGGCTAAGAGCAGTGGGGGGAGATGAAAATCTCAATCCCCCTACTGAAGGCTTTATTTTCAAACACAAAAATCATAAGAAACTGAACACTGCACGCTGCAGCAAGTGACGCTAACATTAGCATCTGTGTTATGGAGGCTAATGTTGGGTAAAGTGACCGACTGCAGTTATCGTGATGTTTAACGTTAATTCAACTGATTCCCAACAACAAGAAAACATTTGTTAGCTTTTCTACTCAGCATGTTGCCCACAGCCAGCTCAGTTTAAAGACGTTAGCAAGCAAGCTACCATTAGCTGGGGAGCATCTTCATGTAGAAAATGAAATGGAAAAGAAATGGAATATTCAATGTGTACAGAGCCAGGTGTGTCCCTGGTTGGCCAGGTGGACGGTGATGTAACATGTCATTGTCGTGACTGTGACTTCAGGTGTTTTCAGGTGTGTGTTTGCTCACTTTGGCGCCGCACCAGTCGCAGTATCTGGCGTCACTGTGGTTTATCCGTTTACACCTGGAGCAGGACACCGAGCGGCCGTCTGTTGCCGGGACAGAGGGGGCGGAGCCGCCGACGCCTGCCTGCAGCAGCCAATCAGAGTTCAGTCTGTGCAGGCGCAGCGGGTGAGACAAAGTGAGTGTGTGCAGACGGAGTTACCTGCTGCAGGTGAGTCTCACAGGTCAGACAGCTGGAAATGTGAGCTGGATTCCCACTTCCACAGCAAACACACAACACATGGTCCTGCACAACAGGAAGACACACAAAGAGTACACAACGAGTTCATTGGAAACAGACTCTATGTGTGTCTGTTGTGTGTCTGTGGTGTGTGTCTGTTGTGTGTGTACCTGCAGTGTGTCTGTGGTGTGTCTGTGGTATGTCTGTGGTGTGTGTCTGTGGTGTGTCTGTGGTGTGTGTACCTGCAGTGTGTGTCTGTGGTGTGTGTACCTGCAGTGTGCGACCGGCCTGCGGTTGCAGCTGCTGGTCGATCGGAGCTTCACAGACCAAACAGCTGTGCGTGTTGGCGGGAACCAGACGGTTGCAGAACACACACAGCAGCATCTGACAACACACACAGCATGATGTCACCTGTGTTTACCTGGACACTGACTCTCTCAGGTGTGTGTGCCATACCTGTCCTCCTTCAGCAGGGGGCAGCCTCTGGCCAGGTAACGGAGGAACCACGGCTCCGCACTGAGCACAGAACCGAGCCAGCGGGTCTGACGGGCGGAGACTCAGACACCGAGTACACCTGGACGGACGGACAGACTTTCAACTTGAAGCTTCTGGTTTACACTACACGGCCAAAAGTATGTGGACACTAAATGTACTGTACTCTTTGTATGCTAATGAGAAGAATTTATCAGCCGTCCACATACTTTTGACTCAGAGGTTTGAGTGGAGGCTTGTGCGGCAGGAAGTCGGTCTGTCGCTGCAGGCGGGACGCCGGCGTGCTGCCCAGGTCACCTGACCCCTGACAGACAGGAAGCACACCACAATAAGAGCTCACCGACGGTCAGCAGCTCACAGACAACGAATGAATGTGTGATTTTACCGCCGACTGTGAGCGCCGTGAGGAGGCCGAACCCAGCCGGCTGCTCAGGAAACGAGGACCTGATTGAAGACAGCTTTTCCCCTTCATGTCTGGAAACAGACAGCAGGACAGGAGGTGAGGAGAAGCGATGATGTATTCTTTATATTTTCCAAATTAACTTTGGTGTTTTTTACATCTTTTACTAATTTTGTTTAATGATCAGATGCGTCATGGTTCCGCTGACCCGAACCCGTCGTCTGTCTGAGCTGGAGAAGCTCAGCTCTGAGTCATGTGACTTCATGGAGAGTAGAAGTAAATGAATATTAAATGTAATTCAATCAATACAACCCCAAAAACAAACAAACAAACAACACAGGAAACACAAGAAATAAGTTTAGAAAGTACAGAAGTTTAAACAAACGATAACAAGATGATGAGCGTTGGAGCAGAAGGTCGTGACCTCGGTACCGAAGGGACTCACCTGCAGGAGGGTTCTCAGCAGAACAGGACGCTCCTCCAGGCGGCTGCAACACAAACAGCTGACTGTGCAGGAACATCCGGGGCTGATGGGAAACGGAGTCTGCAGCTGAAGCTGTGTACAGGTGTTTGCTTACCTGCGCCCCGTCCTGCAGGACCTCATGTTCCGTCCTGCTACCTGCCTGATCCACGGAGAACGCCTTCGTCACCACGGAGCTCTGCCGGCCGTCGCTGCAGCACAGTGACACACGTTACCTGCACAGGTGAGCTTTGACTTATAGGCGAGTCGCCCCCAAGTCTGGCATGAGACGAGGCCACCTGAGGGAGCACCTGCCTCAGGTGAGACTTACCTGGTCACGGCCACAGCTCTGACGGACACCCGACCTGCAGGCAGCAGGACGGGGCCGCTGTACTTCCTGCCGCCGGCCGCCGGCCGCGACCCGTCCACCGTGTAGAAGATCTGCACACCTGCAGTGTCTGCACGCACACACACACACACACACACACACCTGCTGACACATGTGGCACCCTGCGACCAATCAGAGAGCTCCGAGCTTGTCTGTCCCCAAGAGGGAGATGGACAGAGACAGAGCAGACAGGTGTGTGTTTACCTGACTGGAGGCAGACAGGTGTGCTGGTGTCGATGTGGTTCTTGGCTCTGTGGCTCTGCAGCTGGATGACTGGAATGATGAGCGGCGCTGACACCGCCCCTGCTGCCATGACAACAGCTACCTGCCAATCAATCAATCAATCAATCAGTTGAGGTTGGAGGTGGCTTTCCTTCATTAATGCAGAAACGTGACCAAATGCTACGTCAGTAAAAGTACTTAAAGTATCCAAAGTACTGGTTCTACAGAAACCTGATCAATGGCTGATCCCCAAAAGATCCTCAGTAAAACTCAGAAGAACTTCAGTCTGAAGTTCTTCCATCAGAGACTTCAGAGCACCAGCTTCAGTTAAACATTCATCATTTATTCATAAAGTCGATTTAAATGAACCAGAGTTGAAGAATATTTATAAACATTTACTGATTCCTGCTGCTGGAGACTCTGGAGGAGCAGCTGCTTCCCACTTCACTCCCAGTTTACTCCCAGTTCACTCCCAGTTTACTCCCACTTCACTCTTTTCTATCGGACAGCAGAAGCTGCGGCGGTAAACAAACAGTAAACAAACAGTAAACAAACAGTAAACAAACAGTAAACAAGCGGTAAACAGGCCTTTGGGTGAAGCAGGTGATCTCCACTCGACTCCAACCGTCGCTGCGTTTACAGGAGCGTCACCATAGCAACGCACTGTGTCCGCGAGGGAGCGCTCGTTTCGGGACGAGGCGACATGGACCCGCCCGCCCCGCCGGGCTGCCCTGGCACGAGACTACTTCACTGAAATCGAATTTTCTGGAAGAAGAAAGAATATTAAGAGAATTTTGAATATATTTAAAGAGTTTTAATAAATAATCATTGTTTTTTTTAATCCAATGAAATAAAAATAAATAAACATAATTTTATTAAACGCAACAAAAAAATTGAAAATATTAAAATAATCAGGAATGTATTCCTTAATTTCAATTTTCAAAATAATTACTGAAACACAAATACAATAAATAGATTGAACAAAAACAATAGAAAAAAAACACACAAATTAAGTTTTGAAAGTAACTGTTGATCAAAATTATTAATATCAGAACGTCTTTGATTTTTTTTAAACGGGTCATAAATTATACAACTGTTTAAGCTGCGTTAATAAAATCAGAGAAATTAAATTATTTTGTTAAACAAGGCAAACAAAACGTCTTTCTGAATGCAAATTAAGCACAATGTATTAAAACATGTATATCTATGGTTATATCTGTGTACATAAGAAGGTGTGCACTCCGGACCGGTTCTGCAGTCGCCACTAACTCCTGTTTTTAATCAGGCTGTTTTCGGGACACCTCCCGCTGCCAGAGGAATTTAAGGACCCCGGCATGCGCACGCTTGTTTGACAACATCAGCTCCCAGGCTAGCAGGCTAGCAGGCTACTAGGCTACTAGAGAAGCAGAGATTGAGTGAAAATGGCTGAAGTGAAGGTGAAGAAGGAGGCGAACCTGTCGGACCCCGCGGAGATCGAGAACAGGTCAGAAACTCCGCCCCCCGGCGCCGCCGCACCAGACTCGGCCTGAATTCGGTCAATTTTAGAGTTTACTCGGTTAAAATTAGACACACACAGGAAACGTGTGTTATTAAATGCAACACCTGAACCGTAGTAAACATCTAGTCACTCCGGCTTTAATTCAGCTCATCCAGCTTCATTGATTTGAACGAAATGTGAACTTTTCCGGATCCTCCAACCGGCTCAGCGCGGCGGACCTCTCTGGGAGGTTTCGCTCATTTCAGAGAGATTTTGTAGGAAAAGTTCTGGATAATGTTCTGGACTTGTTGCCGAATTAGAGCACTCGTGTTTTAAAAGTATGAATGACGCCCGGTTAGAGTTTATAACCCGTTAAATGTCGCAACCAGTGAGTTCGTTGTTATCGCGATGTTTTCAACAGAGTTTGGCTCGAATGTCGCTGAGCCGCTCCAGACTGTGGGCAGCAGGTGGAAGCACATTCCCAACAGTCCAGAATGGCTGAAGAAATGATGAGCAAAAGTTAGTCAGGATTCAGGAAAGTCATGGAAGAGAATGAAAGTGAAGTTATCCTCCTCATTAGACTTTTAGTCATTCAGAAGCTGAACGTTTTTGCTCCACAGGAAGCTTTTGGTTCGTGGAACTTTCACAGCATAAAGACAACTGTGTGTGTGTGTGTGTGTGTGTGTGTGTGTCCAGGATCAAAGAGCTGTGCCACCAGTTTCCTCTGGGTATCACTGACCAGGTGATCCAGAACGACCTGCCTCACCTGGAGCCCCAGCAGAGAGCCATGGCCATCAACAAGCTGCTGTCTCTGGTCAGAAGCTTCACCTGTCGTCGTCCTCCCTCCTCACCTGTCCCTGTCCAGCCCCCCGGTGCTGTGATCAGTGACTTACTGATCACCTGTCATGTTGTTTCAGGGTCAGCTGGACCTGCTGAGGAACAGCTCAGGTCTGCTGTACAGACTGAAGGACTCCCAGAGCGCCAGGTAAGCTCACCTGAGTTCTGCACTACGACACAAGATCAGGGGGTCAGGAAGGTCTGCTGAGCCTAAAGCCAGAGCTCAGTGTCACGAAGGTGGTTCTCTTTTTACCTGCTAGGTCTCCATGGTAACTGATGCTGTGTAGCCA